TATTTTATAAGCTAGGCCTACATAATACTTTATCACTTATTTTATTATTAAAACTTCAGTTACGAAAACAGTGAGGGCAGCAAAGTTACAGGTTTGTTATCATTTTAACTGAATTTCTGCAGGTAAATGAGCAACTGACCCCATAGACCAGTAAGTGGCTAGGTTTGTGTGTTGTGTGTAAACAGACCACATAAATACAACTGACCCCATAAAACACCAAGTGGCTAGGTTTGTGTGATGTATGTAAACAGACCTCATAAACCCAGTTGGCCCAATATACCACAATTTGGTCCCGGCCCCATAAGCCTGTGAAATGTCACATATTTTATATTTATTATATTATGTATGTTCTGAAAGTGACATTTTTCTTTTGAATTGGAAATTGTCTTCTGGGGTTCAGTGGAAATATTTGTACCTTATTTTTAATATGACAGGATGGTGGGAAAGGTATGTCCCTATAAACCACTGAAAAACCCCATTTCGTGTGTGTGTGTGGAACTTCTTAATAATTATTGTCCCACAATTATTATTTGTTTTACAGAGAGGTTTCACAGATGACATTTATCCAGGAGCCTCCAGCTGTGCCTGCCACCATGTTTAGATCTACCGTGGATCAAGGGCCTTCACCACTGCCATCCCCACCAAGGACTAGCGGACCAGCATCACGACAGCTGCCTCCATCTCTGCCTGCGACGAGGTCAAGATACACCTCAGCTCCACCACAGCCACAGCCATCACCATCAACCCGGACAGCAAAGAGGTCTCGTAGAGCACACGTACCTCCCACACAGCCACCAGCTGCCCATGCACCATCACCCCCACCTGCACAGCAGCCAGCTCCACTGTCTTGGAAGACAGGCGAAGACCCTGACACTGCTCCCCCTGTCTCCAGGTTTCAACCTGCTCGCACACCCGGGCCACAGCTCAGCTCAACAGTATCAAACAAACCCCTTGACCTGTTCAAGCTGTTCTTCAGTGCACTAACAGTACAGACACGCTGTACCAACACAAACAAGTGGGCTGCACAGGAGATGGGAAAGTGTAAAACCTACAAATGGACTGACTTGACTGTAGAGGATTTCTATAAATACATGGGGCTGCTGAAACTGGACAATGTATTGGACTACTGGAGGAAGGATCATTTTGTCAGTGTATAATGAATAGTTGGTTGAAGGAAAAAAAATTCTGATGTTCAATATTGTAAATAGTGAGATTTTGCAGTTATATTTATATACATTGTTGGTATTATAATAAATTGTTGGTTGAAAAAAAAAGTTCTAATGCTCAATTCTTTTTTTTTTTACACATCATATGAACCTTGTTATGTATTATGAAGTCATTATTCAGTCCTGATATATCTCAGTCCCTGCTGTGGTGAAAGTAGAGTGATTGACAGCTGTTTTACTCAGAATTCGAATTTATAAAATTCCATTTTAGACATGAATAACACATTTATATACAGTGTAATTCAAATATTTCACTACTTTTGTAATCCTAAGACTTTGGTAACCAAATCTAAAACACCAAAACAATTCGATCACATGAGTAAATCTGTGTTTTCACAAGAGTTTTGAAGATTTTCCGAAAATCAGATGTCAAATTTTAAGCTTTTGAGCTACTTATCTCATCAAACAGTGCTCTAAGGTGAGTAATTTGCATATATAGCAAGACCAGAGATTGTCCTGAACATTTTGATATTTAACACATGGGTGCCATTTTAGACGAAATACATTTAAAAGGTGATTTAAGAAAACATCTAAAAATCGAGAAAATACCCTTAGACTCCAGAGGGTTAAAGGTCATGATGGGTATAAATAAAGCCACGCCTCCAATGGGAGAGCCCGTTGAATGAAATGCCACTGTCTCTGATGTTTCGTTATTCCTCCGCTTATTTGGATGCTAAACAGCAATGAAGTTATGCTTACTCTGCTAACAGGTTATGGGCCCAGAGACACCCAAATAAGTATTTCCGGCGTTTGTCCACCGATGAAAAGTCGCAACGTAGCACGTGTGGTGGATTAGCAAGCTAAGCTAACGCCATGAGCAGGTTGGGCGCAGGATCCAGTAGCCGCTGGTCTCGGCTAGTGTTTGACGGGGATGAAAATAACTATGAACTGTGGGAGACGAAATTCTTGGGCCATCTTCGCTTACAGGGACTGAAGAATACTATTTTGCAGTCCAGACAAGGAGTTGGATGGTGTGAATATCTTGGAATCATCTTTGAAATTTGAGCAAAACACAGAAGCCTTATCAAGAAAACAAACCTGCATCCACATGCTTTCAAGAACTGAATTCCAAAAACCCTTCTACAGTTCTTCAGCGAGTACATTCCGTGTTTCTCCTTCACATGTTGGTTGCCATCACTCACTGTCATAACCAGAAACCGTCTCCATACCACAATTAACACCTGTTCCTAAAACTGGAGTGCACATTACGAAGCCTCATTACTAGCTACCACTGCGTGTGCCTCGCATGTTTTAATGTTGTGAGACTATGTGTGTCATCACAGCGTTAATTTGGCTCTCTGTTGAAAGTTGCTGTCACCTCAACAGCGCGCAAGATTCACAGTCACGGAACTTAACAGGTTTGTAGTTCAGATCAAAATGTAGAGCCAGTGCAAAGGTGAGCATGGCAGTGGTGCATATAAGTAAACGGAAAGGTAATGAGGAAAGGACCTACAATTTATGCCATGGCCTGAATTGGTATTGCGGGTGGCCTCTAGGTCTGTGAGCAGCAGGGACCATGACATCATGTAGGATAACACCCGTCATCTCCACCCACAGATCCAGATGCCTTCTTTCGTGGTGTAGCGTACGCAGTTTCTCTAGAAATGGGCACAGAGCTCTGTTCATTCCATAAGACCTCCGCTGGACTAAGGATCTCAAGAACAATAATTAGCTCTATCTGGATCTGCCATGTAGTCTTTTCCCCTACTTATTATTTCATTTATCATTATTCTTTTTAATAACGACCTACTTACTTTTTAAGTATAACTGTACTATCAGCTCAACACTGTTCCATACAGCTATTTGCTTATAATTGTCTATAATTACTCAAGCCTAAAATGGGTTCGCTTTCTTGGATTTATGACGTTTATTGGATAAGGTGAATTGGAAGAGCCAGATGACCGACATGTATTCAGTCCAGTCTATGACACTGTCCTGCAGTGTGGGACAAGGGGTCAACATTGCATTTGTATACACTTTCCCTCTAAACCAGTGTTTGCATATTTTCTTTATTGTAAGAGCCCTCTTGTACTAAAAGGGTTTTAACATTACCAGATTGTTTGTTATATAATTGTACGATGAAGCTGTTTTTAATTAGATTCATAACAAATCAATTGCTCACTTTGTGTAAAAGTTCTAATGCTGGGATTGATCATTCCACAACTCATTAGCGACAAAGCCCTACATTTGTGAAACACAAAGTGACAAGTTTAACAGCTTTTAGGGGATGGCAGTGAATCACTAAACTGTCCAGGCTGACTGTACGGCTGCATCTTGTTGGTTTTCAATGAGCTTGCTTCCTTTCTCCCCTTATTATCTCCTGTCTCCCACCGTGAAGTAAATGGGAGGAGGTTAAAAAACGAAAGCACGTAAGTGAAGGACAGAGAGAGGATACGTGAACAGAATCATGACACCAGTTTCCTTTGGTTGTCTCTTTCACAAACATACATTATACTTAATAAAGCATTTTGATCGTTTACATTTCTTAATATTATGTATTAAACAGAATTGCGTTGCTAGGCAACAGCATGGGTCCATTCTTACTTCCTGTCAGCTGATGCATTCGCTGACATCAGCAAAAGGAACCTTCAGATTGATGACATCATCTTGGCCTTGATGCTTTAGAAGTTTGCAGGTCTCAGCTGTGACGGTGAATTCATCAGAGCGTCAGAGCATCAGTCAGAAGGCAGAAGGAACTGTTCCAGCTAGTGTCAGATCATTGCAGAAATAGGTTTTGTAGCAAGCTAACATTAGGTAGACTTGCACGTCTATTTTAACGAGATAATCTAAGGGAACTCCATTTTTGTGGCTTTAATTCAGTTGAACAATTATATTCAGTTTGCTTAACAACAGGTCATTTCATCACCGAAGTAGAGATGGAGATGAACAATAGAGATGAGATGGAAGTCAAGCTCGAGATTCTGCAAAAAGAAAATCAGGAAATCAAGTTGTTGCTGGAGCAGGAAAGGACTTTAAGGAATAAGCTTGAGATTGAAGGCGCTAAGAAGAAGGAAGCGATGCTGAAAGCATATACAGAGAATGCAGCTGAGCTATATAAGCAAAATGTGAACGTGAAAGTCCAGAAAATTGAGCACAACGTCTTGCGCGTCAACAATGAGGACCTGAACATGAAATACGGAATGCTCCAGAGGTCACACAAGAAGGTCGAAGCAGAGATGGCTGCCTTGAGAAAGGCAAACCAGGAACTCAAACAACTGAAAGAACCCTGTGTTGAAGAGAAAGCTGTAGAGATGGCTTCTTTGTGTGAGAGAAACCAGGAACTCCATTTACAAAAGGAACGTTATGTTGAGGAGAAAGCTGTAGAGATAGCTTCTTTGCGTGAGAGAAACCAGGAACTCCATTTACAAAAGGAACGTTATGTTGAGGAGAAAGCTGTAGAGATAGCTTCTTTGCGTGAGAGAAACCAGGAACTCCATTTACAAAAGGAACGTTATGTTGAGGAGAAAGCTGTAGAGATAGCTTCTTTGCGTGAGAGAAACCAGGAACTCCAACAACTGAAAGAACCCTGTGTTGAAGAGAACGCTGTAGAGATGGCTTCTTTGTGTGAGAGAAACCAGGAACTCCATTTACAAAAGGAACGTTATGTTGAGGAGAAAGCTGTAGAGATAGCTTCTTTGCGTGAGAGAAACCAGGAACTCCAACAACTGAAAGAACCCTGTGTTGAAGAGAACGCTGTAGAGATGGCTGCTTTGTGTGAGAGAAACCAGGAACTCCATTTACAAAAGGAACGTTATGTTGAGGAGAAAACTGTCGAGATAGCTGCTTTGCGTGAGAGAAACCAGGAACTCCATTTACAAAAGGAACGTTATGTTGAGGAGAAAACTGTAGAGATGGCTGCTTTGCGTGAGAGAAACCAGGAACTCCATTTACAAAAGGAACGTTATGTTGAAGAGAACGCTGTAGAGATGGCTGCTTTGCGTGAGAGAAACCAGGAACTCAAACAAGAGAAGGAACGTTCTGTTGAGGAGAAGGTGGACAAGAAGGAAAATGAGGTGAAGGTGGAACCAGGAGTGAGGCACAATGTGAAAATGAATGCCCTGGAAATTGAGCAGAAAGTTTTGCGCGGAAACTATGAGGAACTGAACATGAAATATGAAAAGTTCCTCAAGATGCACGAGAAGGACAAAGCAGAGATGGCCACCTTGCAAAAGGCAAACCAGGAATTCGAACAACAAAAGGAACGCTGTGTTGAGGAGAAGGATGCAGAGATAGCTGCCTTGCTGAAGGAAAACCAAACACTGAAACAAGAGAAGGAGCATTGTGTTGAGGAGGAGGCGAAGGTGGACAAGAAGGAAAATGAGGTGAAGGTGGAACCAGAAGTGAGGCACAATGTTAAAATAAATGCCCTGAAAATTGAGCAGAAAGTTTTGCGCGGAAACTATGAGGAACTGAACATGAAATATGAAAAGCTCCTCAAGATGCATCAGAATGACAAAGCAGAGGATCTCAAACAACTGGAAGAACCCTGTGTTAAGGAGAAGGATGCAGAGATGGCTGCCTTGCAAAAGACAAACCTTGAACTCAAACAAGAGAAGTTGCGTTGTGTTGAGGTGAAAAATGCAGAGATAGTAGTTTTGCATGAGAGAAACCACGAACTGGAAGAACAGAAGGAACGCTTTGTTGAGGAGAAGGATGCAGAGATAGCCACTTTGCATGAGAGAAACCACAAACTGGAACAACAGAAGGAACGCTTTGTTGAGGAGAAGGATGCAGAGATAGCCACTTTGCATGAGAGAAATCACGAACTGGAACAACAGAAGGAACGCTTTTTTGATGAGAAGGATGCAGAGATAGCCACTTTGCATGAGAGAAACCACAAACTGGAACAACAGAAGGAACGCTTTTTTGATGAGAAGGATGCAGAGATAATGACTTTGCTTGAGATAAATCACAAACTGAAACAACAGAAGGAACGCTTTGTTGAGGAGAAGGATGCAGAGATAGCCACTTTGCATGAGAGAAATCACGAACTGGAACAACAGAAGGAACGCTTTGTTGAGGAGAAGGATTCAGAGATAATGACTTTGCTTGAGAGAATCCGTGAACTCCAACAAGTGAAAGAACGTTGTGTTCAGGAGATAGCCGCCTTGAAAACACCACGGTGGAGAAGATTCATTAATTTCCTTTCTTGTATCGTCCCAGATGTCCCCGACGACTACCAAGAAGGCCGCCTTGACAATGAAACTTTAGAAAATATGATAAACAACAACAGAAATTAGTAAGACATAAAAACATTTCCAGAACAGACTAAAGCTCAAAATGAGTGAGCAATAACATATAATAACATTCAGTCAGGATATATATTTAAACAGTTAACATTTATTAGATCAATTTATTAAACATCAACAAAGGTTCCAGAAGATACTTAAGCGGCTAGAGTATCGTTAGTATAGTATAGTAGTAGTAGTAGCAGTAGTAGTAGTAGTAGTAGTAGTAGTAGTAGTAGTAGTAGTAGTAGTAGTAGTAGTAGTAGTAGTAGTAGTAGTAGTAGTAGTAGTAGTAATAGTATAGTTTTTTTTAGGCTAGTGTCTAGCCTCTAGGGGCAAAACAATTACCTTCATTTTAAAATTCCTTCGCTTCTAGCACTCCTAAAAAACAGGAAAAGGGTAGCTAAATAAAGATCTGGTTAAATTTAAAAGGTCACCCAGAACATACTGTAGGCGATTTCAAGCCATTACAGTTAAAAAAAAACCCTGATCCATTACGCATACAAATAAATCCAGTAGAGACTTAAACTCACAGTGATTGTGCAGTATTGCCCTCTAGAGAACATCTAGTTAGATTCAGTCTTGATATATATATATATATGAACACTTAAAGGTGGGGTAGGTAAGTTTGAGAAACCGGCTCGAGATACACTTTTTGTTATATTTCATGGAATGCTCTTAACATCCCGATAGCAATGAATATCTGAAGTGCTTTGACAAAATATCCATTACAAAATTTCATCTGTGGAAGCCGTAGTTCTGTAAAAAGCACGACCAATCATCTGAGCCGGCCCGGCTAAAGTAACTGGATGGCCTACCTGCCTGTCAGCCTTCCATCTGTGCACAAACTTCTCTCGTGCCCTCATTGGTCATGTGCGCGTTCGTGTTTGTTGGAGGAGGAGGGGCTCTGTAAGGAAGTGGCAGATTTTTTCCGGCTGTGTATTTTCAAATTCTAGCGCAATTCACTTGTTTTGCATCAATCTTGATACAGGGTACTTATTATATGTTATAGTCTGGAATCCTAAAGCTTTTTGTCTCCAATCCCATAATTCAAGGGTGGTTTTCACCCCCTTCTACCTCACACAATTACTGCAACTCCGCACACCCCCGAAGCACAACGCCCGGTCAGCTACAAGCATCCTGTTAAAGATCCCCAAAGCCCATACATCCTTTGGCCGCTCCGCCTTTCAGTTTGCAGCAGCTGATAGCTGGAATGTCATTCAAAAAACGTTGAAAATGAAAACCTTTGTCTCCCCCCGCCCCGCACCTTCAATGTCACTATTATTTACACCCTGGTACACACATGCTTTGCCTGATGCTGATTGTAATGACTGATTGAACCACAGCAATATTGTTTTAGAGTTTTTACATGTATATTTTTAACTGCTATGCCTGTCATCTTTGCTTTATGTGTTTGTGTTGTCTCCTGTGTTCTGTAGTGCCCGGAGTCTGTCTTTTTATTTGTTTTCCTCCCAAACCCCATCCCCTCAGGAAGCCTTTGCCTCCTGTCAGGTCATCATTGTAAATAAGAATGTGTTCTTAATTGATTTTCCTGGATAAATAAAGGTTCTACTACTACTACTAATGACGGAAACTATAATTTACATTTGTTTTTACTATGTTCAATCTGAATTTACTTTTAAATAAAAACATCTATATTGATTATGACTTTTCTACATCAGACTCACAGGTTTACCATTGCTTTGAGAACAAAGATATTAATGTACCCCTTTTAGAAGTGAAGATATAGTCATTTGTTCTGGGCATGTCCTTTTCGAGCCTGAGATCTGAAAAACAGGCTTGGGGCTTAACAGTTAACAGCTTGTTGTTACCAAACCTGAATCCTGATCTTGTAAGCACGAATACAACTGTCTACTGCACACAATATGTGTCATGTGTAACAAACAACGTATCCTTTAAATGTAATAATAGTTCACATATGACAACTAAAGCAAACAGGTATTATCTTGAACTGTATTGAAGTGAACATGTATTATTTGGGACTGTTTTAAAGTAATCCTATATATATAAACCTTCTTACTTACACTCCATGACCCAGAGAACCTGACACACACACATACACTTCCTCTCATCAGCAAACACACACACATACACTTCCTGACCCAGATATCAGCAACACACACATACGCCTCCGCTTATCAGCACACACACACACACATACACTTCCCCTCACTAACACACACACATGTTCTTTTTCAAGGTTCTTTCTGGGGCCAACATAATCCCAAGCACCAATATATCTGTGTACAATGTTTGATACCAATATATCTGTGTACAATGTTTGATTGTTTAGAGAAGAATAGTTTGTGTGAAACCTTCCCTGGGAAAGTAAAGGAGTTAACCCAGGTATAAGATAAAAAGTGATTCTGACCTTGTAGAGTTCCGAGGCTTTCACGCTCTGTTCAGAAGAGAAATAGTTTTTCCCAGAACTCTGATTCGCTGTATTGGGCCCGACCCAAAGTGAATCCAACCAGTAAGAACACCTAGGGGAGTGAGCAACCGACCCAAACTCCTCCCCACGGACTCTCTGATTCGCTTAGGAGTAAAATGGGACGGAAGAGCCGACACACATCTCCGCCCCAAATATGTCCATACTGTTGTTTCTTCATGCAAAATGCTCCCTGTTTCTGACTGGCTGGTCCCGATATCTGTATCGCACGGCAGTAGAGCGGGGAGCCCGGAGTGCTCTGTTTCAGGGCACTTTGTATTTCGTATTGTGTTTTTTACCATTAAAATCAGATTATTGTTATAACCTTTATGCCGGTGTGTTGAACTCCCTCTTTTATCAATCTGACCAGGCTCATCTAAAGGACGGCGCGGAGCAGAGGTGGGCTTTAACCCTCTGGAGTCGGTGGTGCAAGTGCACATTTATTTATGTATTTAATCATAGATGTTCGCTTGTAAGGAGTATAAATATGATTCAGATATCTGCGGAATCGCTAGAATCGTAGCTTTTCAAGAGTATCTCCTGTGAGACTGTACCCAGGGCACAGCAGCCAATATTGCCGCTCAAAGCAGCTTGATTCGGCGTTACACTGTGTGTGATTGGTGGATTTGTGTGTCAGTCAAGGACATCTCGGCCAGCCGGCAGCCATGTCGGTCTGAAATGACCAATGGACACTCTAGAAATCTAAGGACCTACCCACCAATAAAAAAACATATAACAGGTGTCTCCCATCAGTTTCAGTCTTTTAGTCTGTGAAGAAGATAGAGAAAATGGCTCGAAGGAACTTTACCGTTGCGGACGCGCTGGATTTTATTTTTCGCGAGCGGCAGTGAAGAAGATGGCTCATCAGAACCTGAAGGCTTCGACTCTTCTGAAGAAGAAGAATACAGGGACAGCAGGGTAGTGATGGCAAAATGAAGCTTTGAATGAAGCGTCGAACCACTTGGACAATTGTGTCGGAAATAGGTTCATTTCTCGAAGCTTCAGTTACAGCGACCTCTCCTGGCGAAGTGCAAGGCTGCAGTGGGTTTAACGTATCTTTGCCTTGAAAAATATTCGATGCACACACACACTAAGACTGAATATCATGTTCTATTTGCAATTAAAGATTGATAATTGGGTGTATTGGGTTATTGAGAAGAAACTAGAGAGTGCTAGACATGTTTTTGGGCGGTGAGGGCCTTTTATAAGTTATTAAAGTTGAAAAGCAATGATTAAAATACGTCCATTCCGGGCTTTGAACCAGCTGCGCGGAAGACATTGCCGCATTCGGGCCGCCGGCTCTCCCCACTGGGCTATCTATTCCTTGAAATATTTAATTGTTTTTATATTACTGATAATTGTCTTTTTGTTCACAACTTATCCACATTTCAAAGTGTTTCCCGAGCCAGAACGACCTATCTTACTTCCTGGCTTGCTCTATAATGATATCAAATGCAATAACAACAACAACTCAACAGCAACAACGCAAACTACGACAACAACCCACACATTGTGCATTGTTTAGAGCGGTCATAAAGTGTTGAAGCACTCAAGTTTGAAACTGTTTCAACCTGTCACCTGTCAGAATCGAGACGAGGCAGTGCATTGAATCGCGTGAATGGACCATGAACCAGTCAGTTGATTCATTCAGGAAATGAAGCAGTTGCTGCTTCGGACGTCACATGTCACGTGATTTGAAGCAGTTGCTGCTTCGGACGTCATATGTCACGTGATTTGAAGCAAGCTTCGAAGCACTGCTTCTATGGAATAGGAAGTCCAGGGTTGAAGCTCCGTTCGAAGCTTCAGTGTCAAACTGCCATCACTACAGCAGGGATCCATTTGAGGATGGGTAAGTGTAAATATAACTTGTAGTGCATTTGCCATTTTGTGAGGAGTACCGCGAAAATGAACAATGGATTTATCAACCTTTTTATTTTCCCCTCATGAACTTTTTCTCGGGACAAAATAGACTCTTGATTAGTAAACGTTTACTCGTGTGTAAATGTTATTTATGTGTAAACGTTATTTTTGGCATGTATAAGTAAGGTTACATGTGTAGATGCATGAGATAATCCTTTATTTGTCCCACTACGGAGACATTTTGTGTGTGTGTGTGTGTGTGTGTGTGTGTGTGTGTGTGTGTGTGTGTGTGTGTGTGTGTGTGTGTGTGTGTGTGTGTGTGTGTGTGTGTGTGAGAGAGGGAGAGAGAGGGAGTATGCTCTGATGATGTCACTCACGTGTGTGTGGCTCCAATCTGCGCAGCAACACCATGACAACCAACTGCAGCACTGAGTCCCATAAGAATGCATTGAGGATTATATCTGACAATTTTGCCACCTGTTAAAAAACTATGGCTCTTATCAAAAAATGAGCAGACGGTGAGCATCAGGGAACCCCAATGAACTGATATATGTATTTTTGGGGGTTTTGTGTGTACAATGTGGAGATGGGAGCAGTTTGTCTAAAGTGTACTTCTCCCTGCTCCGAAGAAAGATCCAGAACAATTTAACAAGGGAATTAATTGGGAGCTAGCT